GAAAGAGAACGAGAGCTTGCAGGCAAAGCTCGACGCAGCTGGAGCCCTGAAGGGATTACCAGAGCCTCCTTCTGCTGTTGGCGTGTCTGTAGAGAAGCCTGAAACGGTGGTCTCAGTTTTACACGGTGACTATGCAGCTGTGGCCAAAGAACGAGACTGGCTAGCTGAGAAGGTGAAGGCGCTGGAGCAAGAGCTGGCTGGCCTTCGGAATTCGCAGAAGGCGCCCCCCTTAAGCAAGGTGCTCCCAGATAGGAAACTTGTGCAGGGTTCCAAGGCACTACCTATATGCAAGGGAAGCTTCGAACCTTCGGGGAAGCCGCAGGCTGTAGACCCTGCAAAGGAGACCTCAGCGCCTGCTGGGGAAGAGACACCTGCGCAGGCGCATGCCAAGCTCGAGTATCTTGAGCAGGAGGTCCTCACACTGAGGCAACAACTTGCAGATGGACAGAAGATTAAGGACGATTATGCAACTCTTGTTGAAGAAGCCAAGAAGCTCCGGAGCGAAAATGAGAAAATCAGGATGCAGGGAGCTAGAGATTCACCAGTAAAACGTCCCGATGATAGCAGCAGCGAACAGTCAACACTGACTGCTGCGGAAGTGGCGGAACTACTAAACGAGCGAAACGCTTTGCGGGAAAGAGTGCGGGACCTTGAAGAAGAACTTGCAGCTCTTCGCACATCGACAAGAAGCCCTACAAAAGCCCCACCGGCCTTCAAGAGCGTTTCACCCGCCACATCCACCCCGCAGACTTCAGAACGTCAGCCAAGCAAGAAGCCACCAGTGCCGACTCCGAAGTTAGAAAAGCCTTTGGACATTCCCAGCACAGATGACCACCGAGAGACGTCGCCTGGAGATGATGCGGCACGAGTTCCCCCTTCCGAGACTGCAGGACCCTCTGTCGCAGCGGCAAAGCCTAGGCCGTTTCCGAGCAAAGCTGCGAAGCCCGTGGCTGAAGCATCTTCTCCGGGAGTCGTTGCTCCCTGCGCTGAGGGTGGAGCTGCGTCGCCAGTGAAGGCCGGGCCTCCAGTGAGTAAGAAACTGCCCGGTTCTCTGCAGCCCAAGGCAGCGAAAGCATCTTCCGCTACAGCAACTCCTGCAGATAATACAACAACCACGGACGGAAGTCAAGCTGAAGTTATGGATACCGTGGGGGGAGCACTGAAGAATATGAAGTCGCCCGGGACGTTGCCGCTGAAGACTGCCTCTCCCAAGGGCCCGCCGCTGGCCACTTCCGTCGACGGACCTGCCTCTGTCCCTACAGTGAAGGCAAAGCAGG